CATTTACTGTGTCGTCAATGGTTAACAAGAAGTAAAAATGTGACGAGGATTTCAAGTATTACATTACATTACTGAACAGAATCTGCCAACGTGCGCCTGCTGTGTTGCCAGCAGGTGGATGTAGGTGTTTGGGTTCATCAGAGGTCTCCAACTAGCCAACAAAAGCCAAGTGGCAGACCCCTGAGAAGGTTAATCATCTGCTAAAGGAGGGCATCCTGACCTTTTTGTTTTGCACATTAACCCATCCAGCCACATAATACAAAATGAGCTTAATCATTAAATCATTAGCATTTAAACTGAGGCTCTCTTAACTCTGTGGGTCATTTTCTTTTCTTTCAAGTGTAGATATTGAAACTGCCTATATCAGCCTGTCCTCTGTACAGAAATGTCAATTCTGTATTTAATCCATTTTCTTTTTTTTGTTCAACATTAAATGAGCTAATCAGAGTTCTTCAAAACAGTTTGTGTAGACTGAATGGTCGACTGTGCCAAGAATTATAATCTCGGTTTACAGTAAAAACAGAGCTGAGGAATGAGGGCGGTAGCTTGTTGAGAATGGATTGGTTGTTGATAAATAAGGTAGCTTGCTTTTACCTTGTAAGGCTTCATATGTTTAACAGTTTGTTCCAGTTTGTATTATATTAATTTAGACATTTTTTGTTTGTCAAATTACCCACTGCTTAATTTACAGCTCTTCAACAGAAAACAAAAAATGTTAAATTGAAGTTTGAAGCAAGTGTTGTTGTTTTTTTGTTTGTTTGTTTGTTTTTGTTTTTTTGAGTAATTTTCTTTAACTTGTGCAAAATGTTTGCTGTCTGCATTTAGATCCTCATGGGATGGGTTAAAACTGGAGGCAGTTTATGCAAACAGAGAGCACATACAAATCTTATACAAAACAGCCTTGTTGTGGCTAGGTTTCAAAACGCTGTTCTTCCTGTGGGGCAACAGTGCCATTGAGCCACTGTGGTGATGATTTAGCTTGCGTTCTTATTAAGTAAATGCATAGCATAGTTGCCAAATAAAACTAAAGGTTAATGAGTAACTAGAGACGCCGTGTGCTAGGAAAATAATTAAGGGGGCAAACAATGAGGAGAGAACATGTAATGACTAAATGCGGTTTGGCAGAAACATAGACCAGCTGTGAAAGCCCATTTTCAGGTGTGTGCGGGGAGCTCGGGTTGGTCTGTCTACTCTGTTGTTGTCTTTATTTTATTTCATTTATTTATTTATTTTTAAGAAACGGTTTGTTATATCCAGCTGCCACTGTGGCCATCTGTGCCCTGTTCTGCCCATTCACCGCAGCGAGTAATTGGACTTCGGCCTCATTAAATAAACAAGTTGCTGAACTATTTTAGGATGATTACTTGTCCTATGAAAGTCTAATTTTTTTCCAATTTATCTCTGCTCACTGATGCACGAGCAAAATATGGTAATGTCCTACATTGTGATTCTCTTAAATCAAACGCAATCCAAATGAAAATGAAGTGTGGGGTGGTTTGATGTGTCTATAGTTGAACCACAATGATGGCTCCCCCTTGAATGGGATTTTCAAAAATCCACAGGCTCGATGTTCACAGCATCCGAAACTGTTTGCTATCGTCTTATTGCAGCCCCAAACCTCTTTCCCAATTTGTCTCCAGACATTGTTTGGCTCTTTGTAAAACATAATTGTGTCAACAGCCTCTCGAGATGAGATACCAAACCTTTCAATAAGTGCTTTGCCCAAAAGGTAAATTTGGCAGCTGAGGAGGGAGCCAACGTGCAAACAAAGCAGCAGACAGTAATTTTCCACTGTCTGTTACTATGCATATTAATGAGGTTGATGGATTAATGCCTCACTTTAGTAACAGGCCACTAGGTGAGCACTGGTTAAGTCTGTCGTGCTCCAGCGGTGCCCAGCTTATCGCATCAGAAGTTGTGGACCAGATCAGTTTTCCACGTGAATGTCTTTGCTGTAAATGGCCCTTTCTCTCTCAGTGGAAAGCAGTTAAAACCCCACAGAAACAGTGTGATCCTGAGATAAATTGTTAAACACAAGCTCTTAAGATTTGTTGCTGATTGCCTGATGATGATGATTAAGCTGCAGGGTAGACATTTAACAGGACTGGAATGGATTTCCTTTGGTTAAGTGTGGGTGAGTGTATGTGTGCGCATACATTTGTAACAGTTGAGATGTTTTCAGGGGAATTGACCTTTTTGTCCCTGCTCGAGTATGTGTGTGCATGCAAGGTGTTTTTGTCCAAAAACTAATCACAGGCCAGATTGCCGTTCTTTTGTTTTTCCTTTTTTTTGTAGGGAGGTTGGCATAACTTTACAAATTTCCTAAAAATCTGATGACAAGATGCCTTAAAGTGAAATAATTATGACCTATGGAAATAAAAATTTCAGACACACATATTTAATTAAAAGGTTTCCCAAGTTGGATAACAGTGACTTTTTGTTTTGTTTTTAACCTTGTTTATCTTCTTTGACCATCATTGCAATGAGTTTCAATTATTCCATTCAGCCAATCTTTTCACTGATGTTGGTGTTATTTAAGGTTGCTTAATGAATCCTGCCACTCTTTGCCCATGTCTTTGATCAGTGTCCAGCCTCCCAGGCTCTTATCTTGGCAAACACAATGGACACGCTACCTGCTTTCATTCTTTTATTCAGAAAAGGGTTGGTTGGCTCGGCTAATGCCTTTTGGTTGTCAGTGTTCTCTCCCCTTTTATATCCAGACTTGTTCTTTAATGATTTTTGCACACAGAGACTTGTGGTTTTGGTAGTCCCACCTCTGAGCTAAATATCACTGTAAAGTGTGTCCTCCCTCTCGCTTATTGCCTCCCTATTGTCCTTTGGTTTTTGTGTGCAGGAGCTTTTTGTGTCAGCCAGGCTGAATTGGCCTGTTTACTGTGATTAAATGGGAGCAGAGGAGGTTGGTGGGCTGAGCCGTATCTGTTTTAGAGTTGAGGAGTGTTGCACTACCTTAGCTCAACACCAATATCTACTGGGACACACAACACACACAAAAAAATGTGTAAGTATGTTTTAGTTAACAGTTCAGAATATAAAGAAGCCGAATGAGAACCAAAAGCAGGACTCCAGCAGAATGAGCAGTTGTACTGTACAACAAATTCAGTTCCATTGCCAGGATGAGCATGAGGTGGGGAGCAAGGAAACTGCTTAAGGTGGAGCGAGCAGGAAGGAGAGCGTAGCTGGCCCTTGAGCTTATGAGTGGATGTGGAAGAGGGGGCAGGGCTGGCAGGCTTGGTAGCACAAGAAAAAAACTGAACTAGAAGCTGTCCGTTGTATTTGGAACACATTGGCTAACTGCACAATGTGTGAGATAATCGAGTGAAGAGCCGGAATGTATCCAGCCGGAGGTTGATTAGTGGATCAGTGCAAGAGTGTGCAAGTGGCAGCTGGAGAGAAATCACACAAATGCAGAGCAGGAACAAGCAGGGAAACTGAGGAGAAACATAAGGAAGGGAAAAAAATCAGCTGCTACTCAATACATTTTTTTTTTTTTTGATTGTTTGATTAGTTGGAACATACATGGGTATTTTTTTTTTCCTCCAAAACTCATTGGTAATTTTTGCTCTAACTGATGAGTACATTTGCTTTAATAATTGATCAGAAAGTCAAAACACCAGTAGAGAACTAGTACAAAAGCAAGCTAAACCTCCCCCTTGAGTCAGTTTCTTTTTATTGAAAGATGATTTAAATTAGTAATAGACTATAAAATTGGATTCAGTGTCAATTAATTTATTTTTGGGATGTGCAGATTCTCACCATTAATTCATTTAGTTAGTTTATTTAGTCATCACTCATTAGACTGTATCAACAGTCCATGTAGCGCGCAGTGACTAACGGGCTCAGGCAGACACATTGATTATATATGGTTGTTCTCCACTCCTAATTAAGGCTACCCATCAACATTTTTAACACTCAAAACTGGCTTTGGAAATCCTTCTTTGAAAACAAAAAGTGAAACTAAACTTTAAAAAAAAAAAAAAAACAACGCTTAATTACAGGCACCGCCTCATTACCACCACCCGAGAACATTTTACTTTCATTACTAAATATAGCCCTTTTTAAAAATGTTTAATTGCATTGTTTCTATAACATACTGAATCGTTTCATAATGCGGGGCTTTGAAAACAAGGATCAGTGTGATAATGGGTTATTATAGTGGTTTTTTTCTTCTTCTTCTTTTCTTTTTTTTGTTTTTTTAAATGTATACCTTTTTAAAAAAATTAAGTAAAACAAAGCCACCATGTTTCTTTCCCTCTGAAACTGCTCTGCTGTGATGTGAAGTGTTTTTCATTTGCTTAGACAACTTGTTCTCCCAAGTGTGTTGCTGCTCAATATTAATAACCTAGGTTCATACTGTATTAATGGACTGATTACAGAGGAATATGGGTCAAGTATAGGATTTCCCAATGAGTAATGTGTAAGTCAAGTTTGTGGTACCATGAGTGGGGTGGGGTAGGTTTACACAAACAATGCAAGTACATCGTGTCATGCATTGCTGGCAGCCCATTAGCCTAATTAGGTGCCGCAAAATGTGGAGAGAAATGGTTGCAAAGATGGGAGAGATGAGCCAGGCCAAAATGGGTTTATAGATGGACTGTAGTAAATAGAAACATGATTTTTTTTTATCATCTGTTATGTTGCATTTTTCTTTAAGAATTTTATGTAACTACGTGTACTCTTTATATGAGCATATGTTTATATTTATGAAATATTTCTATAACTGGTCTGAAGGTCATATCAATACCTGTGTAGTTTATAAATTAACTGCCAGCTGCGTGTTGCCTGACTTTGCACTGGCTCTGTACACACAGTTGTGATCTTCCTGAAAATATTGATTTATTGGTCGAGAATATGAAAGGATAGAGACTACAGTGATTTCATACTTTATTGAACCTATTATCATATGAAGAGCTGTTATCAGACTACAGAGAGACTTAAATGGCTCTGATGTGATAATGGATCATATCTCCTCATCTCTGCAGGTATTTGGCGATTATTATCACTTTCGGCATCGCACAGTGGTGAAGAGATCACTGTCGGATCACAGGGGGACGCACGTCCGTCTACTAAACGATCCCAAGGTAAGACATTTGTTTTTGGTGCTAAAGTCATGCATGCAAAGGAAGTCTGTTGGTTTCTAATGTAATGGTGACTGACTAGGTGTGAAGTGTTGAAACTGCTGCTTTATGCTAGAGCGCTCTTTGTGTGATGGATTTTTGCAGTGTTGGGGTTTATTTTTTGGCATTTTGGAAGAACTTTGTAGTGAATCGGGCTTTAGAATTGTGTTTGACCTAGTAAACCGCACTCTCTGGGCTCCTTTTAAAGCTTATAAATCCTACTTTGGATGTAGTTTTTTAAAATTTATTTATTTTCAAATATAAAGCCATCTCTTAAAATCATTTGCTGTGGGTTGTCATCTAAAATGTCAGAAATGGGGGAACATAAACTCTTGCAAAGTTCATAAGAACATAAACAGATAAACAAATGCTTTTAAGACAAACACAAATATTACACTAGTTTTATTTCCATACACAAACCTAAATAATGGCACTGGTGCTTTTGTTTGTTTGTTTTTTAATAAGATTAGTGCCTTGTGTGGGCTCACCAACCATTTTGTGAGGTACACCTCTTCAACTGCTTGTTCATACAAATACCTAATCAGAAAGTCCAATGGCAACAACTCGGTGCATTTAGTCATGTCGGTACGATCAAGACAAAGGTTAAACTGAGCGTCATACCGGAGGGAGAAAATTCATTTAAGTGACTTTTGGATCATTGTTGGTGTCAGTCAGGCCAGTCTGACTATTTCAGAAAGGCTGGGATTTTCCCACACAACCGAAAGAGAATCACATCTGCTGGCGTGAACAAACTGCTTTGGTGTCAATTTCGGTTGGTTTTGCACATTGATTTTATCTAACCTCAGAAACGTTTCCAGTAACCTTGTTGAAACAATGCTATGAAGAATTAAAGCAGTTCCGTAGGCAAACCACTGTGTACCAAATAAAGTAGCTGTTCAGTGTACATGGGCTGGGATAATGGGGAAGAAACGTGTTTAACATATTGAACAATTAGGTTGATAAAACAGATGACAACTCCATTATGTCGTGCAGGCAGATTTTCTTGCATTTTATTACCATATGT